TTGGTGACTGAAATTAGTGGAGTATTGGATTGTTTGGACTAAGCAACTTTTTAATTTTTAAAGGAATACTTTAAAAGTATTAATTTAGCCAATGTAACTGCTAAAAACATGTGTTCAGAATTTCCTCTGACAAATGCTGTAGGAAAAGAGAGCCTTGTGCTTTTAGAGAAATTTCATATCAAAGAAGGATTGTCAGAAGCACTTGGCTGACAAAAGCCTCCATCTCCAAGGTCACCTGCAGGTCCATCCTGCTTTCCTCTTCTGTCTCCCTGCCAGCAGTTCTGCTCTGAGTGCTGCTGCCACTGTCATGCAACTACTAGAAATTATGAACAAAGAAAATTTCTTATGAGCATTTTTAATATCAGGTAAAGTCATACAGACATTCATTTCCACTAATACTAAGGTTTTTTTAAACCACAGTTTTTTCTTTACAGTTAATAGATTTTTTTCCTACTCACACACTTCCAGTATACGCATTTCAAAAATCAGAATTCTGGCAGTTATTTTAGGTATGGTTATGTTAAAAGTATTATTTAAAGATTGTCTGCTATTTTCTTCAGACTATCTCTGGCCTATACAGTATTAGTCCATAAAATGTACTTTTCATTATTTTTTATTTTAAGATATTTATTTGTTTATTAGCAGCTGAATTCTCCAAATCCTGCTCTGCACAATTTATTTAAATGTAACTTCTGCAAGTGAAGCATAGAAGGCTGTTTTTGTTTAAGAAAAAAAAAAAAAGATTTATGCATGTACTAAGAGCTTCTGGAATAGAGTTTGCAGATTCAATCTTACAGTGCTGCACAATTTGTTACAGAGCTGTGATTCAGCCCAGCCTTTGGCTTGGGAGTAAGGAATGAAATAAAAAATATGAAAAAAGGAGATCCTTCTCCACCCATATGTACAAAAGATATAAAATAAATTAACATTTACCTTGTTTTCTAAATCACCTCCTAGAATCTAATAACCTCTTTAATAGACAGAACAGCATGACTGCTTAATAGCACTTACTTTCCATTGTTGCTTTACTGTCTTATTTGTGGCCAAATCCTGGTTCCAGGAGAGCCCAAATAACACCACTTAGTGTCAAAGTGCAATACCTTCCCAGTTTGCCATTTGGGAAGAGAATTGCTGTAGAAGTTGTGGTAGTCTTATGGCCTGCATCTTGCCCAGTTTGTTTCAGGCACTTTGCCCTTCCTCCTGCTGGATGAAGCCATTGCCTCCATTCCCCTACGTGAAATAATCACCTGTCTTACGGTGGTTAATTCAGTTATGCAGATTTTGTTCTGCCTGTTGCTGAAGTTACAGCCTCCCTGAGCATTTAGTCATCCACACCCATTCCTCGCGGCTCCTTCTTTTCCATGCAGAGGTTTACCACCTCTAACATGGGGTGTGTATTCAGAGCAGCGCACACACCCCATCCGATTCTTCACCATCAGTTATGAAGCAGCTGTTCACCCCAAATTCAGCTTGTTCCAGTTCATTTTCCTGAAGTACTCCTTCCAACACCTAGCTATCTTTATTCCAGAACCTTATCCCAAGCTTTTCCTCTCCAAGATTATTTTTTGCCAAATCCTGGTTCCAGGACAGAGCCCAGAAAATCAACAATTCTGGCCATTCTTTACTGGGGAGGAAATGGGATCCTTTCACCAGTTTCCATCTGGGAGGAGGGGTGCTATTGGCCCCAAAAATTTCCTTCATCATTTGATGACCCTACCAGCAGGTTATGTGCTCTGCAGATTTCCCTCTCAGGGAGAAAACCCATTTTATTTTAACTGTCTTCCTCCCTTCCAGTCAGCCTTACTGTCATCCCACAGTTCTTTTTGCTTTTGGCAGCTCTCCCAGAGCGCTGGGCTGAAAGCAGAAAGAAACCACACTGATTCTGTGGTTTGCAGAAGAGACCAAGGCTCCTTATTACATATTTCATGCAGCTGTGCTTTCTTGGCCATCTCTCGCACTTCCCCAGTTAAATCCCGGTCTTTTTTCTCCATTAGCACATATGGATTTCTAAGATGATCAGGTCAATGACTCATTGTACGCACTTGTTAGAGGGGATCATTTCAGAGGCGCTTTGCAGTGAAGTGGTTTAGTTCAGTGTGGGTGCATTGGAATGCAGAATTACTTCTCTTGACATTGGAAAGAACAGGTGATTCTATTTTATGTCTTCTTGAATATTGGTCAGCAGCTTTTCATGCTAAAATACACTAATTTATCAATAACCAAACTCTACACATCGGTATTAAATCACCTGTAAATATGTTCACTTTTAGTAAACCTTGTACATTCTTCTGGGCTCTGTCAAGGAGAATATGGAAATATGGATTTCACCTGTGTGACTGTGTGTATGTGTGTCAGTATATATGTACATTTTCATACATACGTGTATACAGAGAAAATCCTGATACTTTCATGTGCCATTTTTTCAAAATATAAAAGTAACTATGATGAATCACAACCAATCTTTGCAATACAAATTCTCAAAAGACCTTAAATCACTATTAGAATATGTATCAGATAGAGAAATAATATATGCACAAAGACATAGAAAATACATTATTTTTTCAGATGGGTAATCTAAGTTTTATCTGTATTGTACAGTCCAAGGGGAAAAAAAGGTCAGGCTGTCAAATCAGTCCATTTAAATTGTAGTAATTTCACTCTTCTTTATAGATTTTGGGAGAAAATGAGACATTTTACTATCATTAACATCTGAAGATAAATATTTACCTTCAGAACTGTTTTGAAAAAAAAAAAAAGTAATCGGATGATATAAGCTCACATTTGGGATAAAAAAGTGTATATATTATTAAAGGTTAATGAGATGTAGTTTTAGGTTTGTAAATATATTTTCCTATGATATTCTCTTTCTTTCATCATACTCACCCTGTTTGCACAAAGGAGAGGTGTGGTTAGAACCCCTTACCCTGCATTTGGAGATGCACAGAGAGCAACACGAATGTGTTAATGGAGCCTGTAGCCCTGTGAATTCTCAGAGTTGGCTCCTGGTGCAGCTCTTGCAGATTCTATAGAAGTGAAATGTTTTCTTTGTGGTAATTATAACACATTCTTTAGAAATTAGAAGTCAGATCTCACCAAACTGTATGAATTTAGGAACTGTTAGTGTGACTTAGCATCACAGGCTTTAATACAAAGAATGATATGTCTCTCCCTATCCAGATGGCTGCCCTCATCTCATCCCTACCTTCCAATCTCTTTTGTGTGCAGGTGTCAGTCCAATTACATTTTCTGACACCTGATAGCAGTGTTTAGTTGTGGTTTCTAGATCACAGATTTTTCAGTGGATCCAGCAAAAGTGGTAAGGAAGTGAAAGTAGCAATTTCGATTATAACCAAAGTTTGCATTCTACATGTAAGGAGAACACTTTTGCTGTGAATGATACTGCATTATGAGAAATGGAAAAACGAAGAATAATAAAGATAGAGTTTCTAACAGAGAACATGCGGCACAGGTTCCTTCTGTACCATAGAGAACGGACTCTCCCTTGCACAGCAGCAGTGGTTTGAGCAGATCAGGGTACTTCAAGAACACTCTATGCAAGAAAAAAATAGCAACTTTTGCACTGTAATTCTGATGTTTGGGGTTGTGTGATTCGAACAAGCTTGCAAGGTTCATATCTTTTTTAATCCCTGTGGTTAAGACATGCTGAGAGAATTAACTAAGGGCCTTGCACAGCTAATTGCCTGTGCTGAATTTCTCTTGAAAGAATGGTAGAAGGATGCGGCTAGGTTGAAGATGTGTTTAATTTGGCTGACCACTTCTCCCTGTTTCATTGACTAGTCTGGCAGTTCATCTCAAACCTTTTCCTAGCCTTTTTTATGGGTATGGATCTCACTGTATCACTGCCATTGTTGTATTTTTGTAAGCGCTACAATTCACTTCAGCAAGTGGCTCTTTTATACTTCATCTTGAGGGTGTGATATGGCAGCATTCCAACACTGGATAAAAAAATAGAGTGAAAATGGAAAAAATCCTTGAACACACAAATATTTGCAGCAAAGCTGTGTTTTCTTAATTGGTATAGGCTTTCCTGACACTGATACATAAGGCAAGATACTCTTCATCAGATTCAGGCTGCCGTTTCTGTGCAGCTGTGCTCTAATATGAATTTCTGGAAGGGTTATATGAACTGTGGATGAACTTTCCTTGGCTATCTCATAGCTAAAAATTTTCCTCCATCACAAAACTCCCAATTAAGGTTTGGTTCAAAAGTGCCCCACTAGTATCAGCTAAATGGTTACTGGATGCAGCTGCATGTGTTAACTTACGAATTACAATACTTCAATGATATGGTTTTAGTAGGTTAAAACAATATTACAAAAGAAAGAAAGCAAGTATCTTAGTTCCATTTATAGTATGATAGCCTACAAGAGTTGGGAAGAAATTTTTCTTCCCTCATGTAATTATCCAGTTACATTAGAAGGGTGAAAGGGGATTTCGTTTCCACTGAAATCTCAGGTGGTAGCCTCTACTGGAAATATGAAGATGGCTCAATGAAGTAGCAGTATACGCTAGGATGGAGGCACCAATTGTTCATAGATTTTAAGACCCAGAAGGGACCATTATGATAATTTAGTCTGACCTCCTGTATAACATAAGCCTTATAATTTCACACAGTACTTCTTGCGCTGAGCTCCTAACACATTCCTGTGCATTAGTAGAACAGTTTTAATAAACCAAATCCTGAAGTCCCACTTTGGCACAGAACAGAGAGTGGAAGTTAACAAAGGACAGTCAGTAAAGGATTTCAGATCTCGGGCCCATACTAATGTCCTGAAATGTGAGTAATGTAGGAGGTATATGCCAAGTTTAAACATTGTAATTTATTTTAAATTGATGAAGAGCATTATAGAATATTATAGCTTAGACTAACTGTAAATGGTTCATTAACATTTCTGAATTTTATTTCTGTATCACCTTTAGCTCTAACCTTTAGTTAGAGCACACCTGATTTACTGTTAGTGTGCTCCTTCTGCTCTTACCGTGTGCTTCATGTTTGACATTGTTTTTCTGTGCCAGAGGAGGTCTCTTAATGCACGCAGTGTCACCAACCTGTAATGCTAAGAGCTGCTTCAGCTTATCTGCAGGGCAATGTTTCTCTTCCTGAGCATGAACATCTCTGTGTTGTTTCTTGACTTCTGTCACTCGCTTATTTCTCAGCTCAGTAGACTGACTCATGTTCACGCAGCTGAGACCAAACTTTCATACAAGTGGATTTTTCCTATGTTTTCCCTCAGTTTTCATCTTCTGAGTTCTTTCATCTTGATTCTGGGGCAGGGAAATGAGGGAAGAGAAAACTTACCGGTCTCTTAATGCAGGCAGACAAACAGCTTTATACTCTGGTACTTTTTTTGCTGGTGAGTGGTGGGTACTCCTGGGACAGCCCAAGCAATGGGAAAGATAATTTAGACAGTTTCAGAGGAAGTGTTGTTTGTATTCCTCCTCTTTCACTTTCTGTCCTTGTAACGCAGTCATATCCCCTTCAGTAGAGATAGGCTCCTCAAACCACTATCAAGTATGTGCAATATGCTGGTTTGCTTTTAAATCTTTTTAGAAGGTGTTAAGACTGAACACAAGGAAGATTATCCTGGCAAAAGGAAATTGGGTTGTAAATTTTCATAGCAGTCTGTACTGGGCAGAATCAAGTGGTGTGATTCTGTCAGAGATTTGTGATGAAGCAATATAAACTTCAGTCCTTGGATCTGCAAATTGAATGAGGAAAAGGTGCGATCTGGATCTTAAGTTCACAGGATGCATTAAAAATAGCATTAGAAAACCATTATATAAATGGAAGTTTGATTACTTCAGTAGTGTTCAAGATTTCTTGATTTTTTTCTAAAATATTTATGAACTGAATCTCTTGGCTTACATGGAAATACTGGCATGTGTTCACATTATTACAGGTCAAATAACAGGCTGTTCATGATTATACCCATATTTGTATACTAATTTAAGGTCTAACCTGCTACTTTAAAATCACATATTAAATAAAGGAAGTAAATTAGCAAAGAACAGTGTATACTTACATTTTTAACAATCAAGTCTAAAAGCTTGGTTTCCAAAATTTATGCAAAAAATACTTTGCATGTACTGGTTAGTTTAGACAATAGGCGTATGGTGCAGTATTGTTAGCTAGATCAGTAGCACTAAACCTGGAAACAGACTTGATATATATAGAGAGAGAAACATAGGGAGTGAGTTATATATATATTCAATATGGTGATGGTGGAGGCAGCGTGCTCCAAAATTCTTCCCTTTTGATGTCTATGCTTCCAAATCTATGTCAGTCCAATCTTTAGTTATACTGCAGTTTAGTCTTCATTGCAATAGTAAAATATAAATAAAGTGTAAAAAGACCATATTGTCAGTTTAAGGTGGATCAGACCAGCAATACTCAGCAACTTTGTACATAATCACTTCTGTCTTTATTTCTATATTCAGGGTATTTAGAAAGAACGGGGGGTTGGGGTGGGGGGGGGAATATCTGTTTTTCTTGTCATCTATCTTAGTATTTGTTTTTTTCTATGTATTGTTTTCTGGAATGTAAACCGCCCTTTCACTTGACAGTCAGTTTCATTCCTATTTCTCAAGTGCTCATGTTCCCTGTGTGTGTGTGTGTTCAGATGTTTGAAGCATCAAGGAAATGCACTTATTCCTCCTTCTGCACTTACTGCTTTTTATTTTAGCTGCATGGAAAACATAACGGTGTATTTACAATGTGCCATTTCCTTCAAAATATGTGCATTGTTGCACTGAGGTATTTTTTTATCAATCTACTCAGATAAAGAGATCTCAGAAATATCCTGACTATATGACCTGAGTTGCTAATGCCAGAATAAAATGCAAGTGGAAAAAGGCAGTTTATGCCGGTTTTATTTCGATTTATTTTCCTGCTTCTTGAGTGGCCACTGGAGAAACCACACAAACTAACCTGAGGAAAGAAGTAGAATTTAATCTACTGCATCACTAGTTCCTAACATCTTCCTTTTGTTCTGCTGGTACATAACTATTTGTCAAATGTGCCAGAGCAGTCTCTGTCTGAACCTTATGCAAACACGAGCAAAATTAAAGAGAAATTTGGCAGATTGACACATAGTCCCAACATCTATACTTCTCTAGCACAAAAATCTGTAGGTGTGCATAAGCTCCCCTGCATGTGACCAGGCTGCAGGCAGGTCTGCAGATAAGATGGCAGACAAGTCGTATGTTTGTAGATGATGGAAAGTTTCAGGAATGTACATTGTTTTAGAAAAGGGACTGCTCTTTGAAGCAGGGATTCTCAGTTTACAGGAAACTTGCCAGGAGAATTCATGTCATCTATCATCTACTTCCAAAAGTTTGTTTCCTGGGAAATTTTGAGCTCTGATGTAGGCTGTGCAGCAGACAGCAGTGATCCTAGCTTTCTCTTGATCGCTGTCTTTCCTGGATCATCACTCCACCCCTTTGCGTTGTTATACAAGCACAGAGCAAATAAAATGCATATGAACTGTGCCATCTGTCATTTAATAGACTAAAGTCTTTTGTTAACTAGACTAAATTTGGACTGGCAGGCAGGCACCCAATTGGAGACCTGTGTGATATCATGAGACAGTGACTTGGGAATACGTTCCAGAAGGACAAGTATGTTCCACTAATGTCCATTACCATGTAATTACACCATTTCAGAATGGTTTTATTATTATTTTTATATATTTTCATTACCATTAATTCACATAACTATAAGGATAAAAGAAATGCTAACTGTAATTCCTGTTTCCACCTAACAATTAATATACAGACATTCTGACATTATGGTACCTTAGCTTCGTGATAATATAGCTATTATTTCTGAGTTGCTATTTCTGATATAAGTAACTGCAAAGGAGGGCTACCACAGGCTTAATTTTGTGGCTGGATTTCTTTATTTCCTCAGCAATTCAGGTTCTTGTCTCTGCAAATGAACACTAATGTGGTATGTTTATGCCTACGAAACACCATATTTTATTGAATTTTCATCCGAATGTTTTGTCCTTGTATTTGCTTTTTAGGATTATAAGTTAATTTGTTCTGTAGTTAGCTGGGCCTGCAAACATATATAAACAGCAGCAACATAAGAAGTGAAGAAGTCAGAATTCTGCCTCAGTCATTGATGCTTCTTCAGAAGAGAATGAAATGCAAAGATGAGGTTTTTGTGAAACTGTAGCCTCCTTCTGGATTTAACTCAGAAGCATATAAAAACAGGATGTAATGACTATTTAGAACTATAAATAACAACTCTAATTCCCAGTAGTTCTTACATCCTAATTCCTCAACAATTAGTGTATATGTAATATGAAATGCATGTGGTTAAAAGGAAAAAAATCACCCTACCCCACACAGCCAATCCCTCACCAAGCAGAAGAGAAGAAGCACCTAAAACTTTACCTCTAAAAAGAAGCAAATTTAAGCTTCAGATATCTGTAGGCTGATGCTTTTAGAGAAACACAATTATGATCCAAATAATTTCCCATTTTGTCCTCACTTTTATAATCTGTACAGGGTTAGCTACCAAAAGGAAATACCAGTATGCTGAGACAAAGAAACCAAGGACAGCCTGTGTGAATATTCTAGATGCTTCAAGATATTTCCTATAATTCGCTACAATTATGTCCCTGCAGACACATTGTCCGTCTTCCAGTGATTCTTCTCACTTTGAAATGAAACAGTCAAAACTATGATGATCCAAAAGAGCACTGGGCTTCTCGAATGATGAGAAGGTATCTCTTTTTTTTTTCTTATTTTTTCAGATGTCCCTCTCTAGCATGGGAAAAAGCCACGCTCTGGGTGCTTGCATTGTCCACATATCAGGGGTTTACCCTGACAACTCAGGGTAGCAGATGGCCGAGGAACCTTAAACGGCATGATAGGAGTTTTGTGAAAAGCCAGTCTGGGCCAGAACACCAGAAGATAAATGTAACAACATTATAAAGCATGAAAATACTGGAAAACAAAGAAGAGGGATACAGTCTGTAAAATATAGGCACATTCTGATGGAAATGTAAAAAAAAAATCTATGGGTTAATTGAAACTGGTTAGTGCAAGAATAAGGGAAAATGGGGTGGGGAGTTCAGCCCTCAAAGATGAAAAAAAAATCATGTTATGAAAAAGTGTAGCTTAATTTTAGTTGTTTTTTTTTTTACCCTTTATGTTGATTTAATAATAACATTTTTTTAAAAATGGGAAGAGAAGGAATGCAAAAATGCACAAGGTTTTAAAATTAATTTTTTCAGCATTTACTCAAAAGCACTTTCCTCTTAGTTTAATTGCACTTTGAAATCTAAAACTTTGCTAGTAATATAACATCCGTATTCAGGGTACACGGTTCACCTTCTGTTGGGAAAAGGTGAATTTTAAATCATCTAGCATATTGTAAAATATTCTCATTTGTTTAATGTGTTTTTATCTCTTGTGATCGTATCATCCCTGATTCAATTATCTCAGTGGTGACTCCTGGGTTTTCTTCAGATTTACGGCAATAGGGTTTCTCTTTCTGCATATCTGATATGCAGAGGAGTTACCTCCTGTCATTTCAGTCAGAGACGGATGGAAATGCTAATTTTCTAGGGAGGAAATCTTTGTCTGCACTTTTATTAGTAATATGACTCCAAATTATCTTACAGGTGTTTTTCAGTGGTGAGGTTAGACTCCATCTCAATCTGATAAGGCATTCCTAATAAGGGGAAATTAGGCCAGTACTCGCAGAAAGAATAAAGTGCCATATGTCCTGACTTTTCACAGTGATCATTAAATCCCAGGAGGATATGTACACAGTGCATTCAATTCTGACAAAACAAAGGAAGTCTTCATGAAGCAGTTACAGTTTTCTAACAAACAGCAATTAGGATCAAGATATTAGGTACTCTGATTAATACAAGAAGAGAAAGGACATGTCTGTAAGCAAAGAAGTCCGCAAACTGATCCCTTTTTCCAATTGTCGTTGTTTATTTTTATGCATGAGCATAACAAAAAATGATCTGAGTTGATATATTCTGAAATATAAGTTGGAAAGAAAAAGGAATTATACTTCCATGTCTTTTAATCACATAATTTTGTTTATAAATATTTTATAAAGATTTCCTTCCTCTTTTTTTTTTGTTTGATTTTCATTTGTGGGTTGAAGTTTTCCAAGTCTTACAGACCTTATTCATAAGCAATATGAC